CCCTTAGCCAGAAACTGATGAAAAGTGTTGCTATGATCGACTTCATCTCGGCCAAAGCTCAGACGAAAAGTGCATAAACTTCAACGCATACAGTGCCATCATTATCTCCTTCGGTGGAGTTCATTAGATCCTCGCCATACCACAAGCGTAACTGTTGGTTCAAGGCAACGGGAGTGGGGTTGAGAGACGACAATATCAACTCTGGAGATAATGAGTTATATGTAGGAATTTTGGACCACTTAGCATTATCACGTACAATGAGCTGGCTTGGTGGCAAAATGATTTGGTCAGTCGAGGTTGTTATGACAACATTAACCGATTCCCGTACCAAGGCATTCGAGCCACAGCCCCAGTAAGACCAATAGGAGACTTTTCGTGTGTTACACGTGACATAACCGTACAGGTGAACCAGCTTTACGGCAGCCAGCCTTTTAGAACCAGTTTTAGCCGTAAAACTGCCAAATTGGTTGTTCTTGGCGCCGAAACAAACTGGAGAGGTATTTTGCTTGTGCCAAAAAGCTGTAGAATAAATAAAAAATCATTTTTTATAAAAAATGTTGTTGCTCATCGTGGTTTTATAGATAAATGAAAATTTAATCGTTTGTCTCACGATGTAAGAGTCAAGGTAATAAAAAATGAAGATCGTGACGTTTCAACTGCGATACTGCTAGTCTTCCTTAGGCGACGAGGTCGAAAGTTTAAGTGTGGCTATTCATAGCAGCTTAGTTTGTTTTCATTGGTGTGTCCATTGTCAGGAGCATAACAGCCACATTATCTTGGCAAGTGACGCTAGAAATATACTTTAAAGATCAGAGCTAATACTCAGAGGTTATATTTTATGCCACTAGAGAACGGCAATAATGCAAGTTTCTAATACTTGTGCAACCAATTAATATCGACATAGCAACCTCCCGTTGACAGAAACAAAAGGGTTATCAACTATATGAACGGTACTAGGTTAAATTTTCCTGGCACTGAAATAGTTGCTTAAGTCCAATCAGCGATTAGAAAACCTGACCCTGAGCAAGTGAACACTGTGAGAAGATGTGTAAACTGATTTCTGCAACAAGTTAAACCACCTACGCCCAACATCACGAATGAAATGCGAAAAAGCCCTTAAAGATCTGAAACAGGATGACTCTATGGAGACCCTAACAGACGACAAAGGTCGTATCAGCGTAGTTCTAGATGACGACACCTGACATTATAAAATGAAAACATTGATTAAGACAGGTGTAGTGTCGTATCTTAAGTATGCATTCACCATGGGAATGGATCGGCACGACTGCATCACTGTATGTTAACTATGAATATTAATGTTGTGAAATATATTTAACTGATATGAATATTAATCTAAGTGTGTTGTAAGTCGTGACTGTATAACTGGAAAAAATGATAAACTTGACATTTGTCAAGAGGATTTAAAGGATATATAGGATTTCAAGGATTTCAAAGATACGGTTAATTTAACCGACAGAATGAACACTATTCTCCAACAAACCCAACTACTGTATTAAAAAACTTGTAATATTCTTACTAAGGAGCAACTCCTAACGGCAGTACAGTAAACTTACTAAAGCATTGACAAAAACTATTTGACGCAATTGTTTATGGGTGTGGCACTAAGGAATAGGACAAAGGTCTTTTTGCGGTGTTAGATAGACTTAGATGAGTGGGGTGGGGTTAACAGTTCTTGGCGACAAGTGCAAGTTCAGAGGTTCAAACTTCCAGAATTGAGGAGAGAGAGAGAGAGAGATTGTTCCTAATGAAGAGGTTCGTGAAAGGGACTGGTGAAGGGAGTTCAAAGGAGAGGCGTACGTAGACGAGAAGAGAGGCGCTGTTTTAAAGTCTCCTAAAATTGGTGATGTAGTGCTCCTGAGGGCGGAGAAAAATAACAAACTGCCAAGTTTTTCCGCCATGGTCCTATAAAAGCGGTTCACAAGATGGAGAGTGAGAGCACGGTCCGGAATGACTCAGGAGTGGAACCTAGGCGCAATTCAGCTTTTTTTAAAAATTACCATACCCCAGGAAGGTTCCAACAGCTCGGTAGAAAACGGAGGAAATGGAAATGCTTTTGCAGACGCTGGGAAAGAACATGGGAAAAGCACATCGGACGCGGAAGTAAACATGGAAAATGAACGAGTAGATGTTGGCTATAAGGATCAAGAGATTCGACAGCATCAGGAGATGCGGGGGCCGATGCGTCAGATTCGAAGATCAGCAAGATTTAAGGGCTTTGTTTTGAACTAGGGAGTATTGCAAATAAGGATTTGGTTTCATAGCGACTGACTACGATTATAAGTCGTGAAGGACGCTTTTGTGCTATTCTTGGAGTGCATGCCTATTTTTGTAAATATTTGGAGTTTTGTTAAGTGCTGGACGATAAAGATCATGTTAAGTGTCCTTGTGAGAAAAGGAAGGAATGCAGTATCGTATCTTAAATTATGCACTCATCATGGGAATAGACGGGCATAACTGCATGCCTATAAATAAAATTGTTGTGAATTGTATTGAAGTGATGTGAATATTGATTAAAGTTTGCTGTAAGTGGTGACCATATAACCGGAATACTGAGAGACATAACAACAGATTCCTACCAACTCCTCAACAAAGACTCACGGAAACTCACCGATAAAATGCTCACCTAAAAACGAAGTGGCCATCTGTCGGAAACAATATACAACAAAATCATACCTAGGCACAAACGGCCACTTGGGATCTTCGGCATATCTAAGATACACAGAGCTGGGATACCATTAAGATCCATAGTATCATGCGTAAACACCTCGCTTACAACCTGTCTGCTTAGTTAGCTGAAATCCTGTCTCTACTGACGGTAAACCCTTTAACTCCCATGGGAGACCAAGACAGAATTTTGAAGTGATGAGATTAAAAAGAAATATCAATAAGGGGATTATTAGTTGATCCAGTAACAAATTCTCCGAACTTAAGTCGTTAGAATTGTACAGCATTCAGTAAGGAGAATTACTAATGAGATATTGAGAGTGAAAAGGTTAAGTCAAATTATACGGTCACCAACCCTGCTTATTTTGTGTCCACTATTAGCCACCAAGAATTACAAGTCAACAAAATCATGGTTTTCTTCGACGTAGAATCGCTTTTTACTAACGGGCGTTACGCAAACTTCCCCGCTGTAGGATGATTCTTGTCTTGCTGAACGTGCGACAACTTGCACAAACTACCGACCTCTTTATATTAGGGTGATTTGTTATTATCAACCGAGTTGATAACGTAAATGGGCTAATGTGAAGATTTTCAAAGTTGACGTTTCAGGCGTTGGCCAACGTCAGAACATCATTATCATCATCATTCATTCTCCGCGGTACACAATTTTTCCTGACTTCCTCTTTACACAGAACAACTACATGCAATTTACGTGAGAAATTGAGGAAGACTGTAGGTCATGACGAGAACACTGCGAACATCAATTGACTAGAAAGCGACGCATACCGACAGATTAATGGATCAGTTATTCCATAATGGTGTATATAAGTGACGCTTTGGACCAAGACTTACGCCTGTGAATTCTCTCAAACATTGGCTTCGGTGTGAGCGTGTGGTGAATGAGATCATTTTATTTATTTTGAATCGGCTTATCAAACTGTTGTGACGCTAAATTGTCCTCGCTGTAACGGTAGATGTGTCCCTAAGCGCAACGGCATCGACCGTGTGACCAACTGGCTGTATAAACAGCCAGAAACTATAATTAAGTATATTAATTAAACATATACGGCTCATGCGAATCGGACTTGAATCGAGACTTGCAGAATTCCATACAGGAAACTGCACAGGCGTGCAAAAACACGTACTGCGCGAGTAAATGACTAGAGCACTTCGTTTTAAAAGCAATCGGTCTGACACAAGGAAATGAGTAAACTTACCTTCAGCACTTCTCTTCACGGCCAACAACTCAAGAATTGAAACGGACAAGAAAATGAAAATAGATTTCATCTTACTGACTTCAAACAGAGCGACTGGTGTTCTATCCTCCGCCACGAGTCTGCAGTAACTGTATCATGCATCGTGATCCTATCATAGTAGATCTACTTTCAAAGGGCATACCAATATATCGCGGTATCAAAGTCGTCTGCGATTGGCTGAAAATATCTGATTGGAATCGCACTATTTAGATAAATGCTCACATCTTCACTCCAGAATTCTCGGACGCCTTTATCCTTATACTGGCTGGACGACGATAAGGAACCACTTCCGAATCTAAGAGACCAATACTGTATTTATATAGGTGGCGTTAAGAGAATCAAGGGATGTTGGCCATTTAAACCGAGATTCCCGAAATTCGGGCGTAAATAGTTAGTTCTGTGTTTCTGTTTACAACCATAGAAATGCGTTTTGAGTTTGCACTCCCAGTTTTCTACCGCTACCAGACTCTTTTTAAAGTAGAGACTAATTTATCGCTTCGTTAAAATTTTCACTTTTTACCCGCACAAGCTATGAACATTCTGTTCAACTACGTCTCCACTCTAATTCACTTTAATTTGATGCGATCCAGCGCCGGACTAGTTTGGCACGGCTGGGGCTACGCAGAATCTATTCCACAGATAGTTTGGTGAATGCATGTTTAAATCTAACAAGACGAAATTATTTATCAGCGGCAAGAACG